AAGTCGAGGACTACTTTTAACGTGATTTGCACAATTCTGGTCTTTGTAGATCTAGACCAGGGGTAGGCAACCTTGGCTCTTTTATGACTCATGGACTTCAACTCCCAGAATTCCTGAGCCCGCATGGCTCACTTGGAAACCTCTCTCTTTCCCCTTAGCATGGCTGGCTCAGGAATTTTGGGAGTTGAAGTCCACAAGTCATAAAAGAGCCAAGGTTGCCTATCCCTGATCTAGATAAATCACAGTATTTGAATGTCTTTTCCAAGGCCTTCATGGTTGCTGTACCAAATGGTAGTTTTGTGGTCTATCTCTTGTCTGCTGATTCCTTTACTTTTGATAGTGGATCCTAAAAGTCCCGTAAGGGAGATAGGGCGGTATATAAATTTAAATAAATAAAAAAAGGGGGGGGGGAAGCCATTTATTAGTGTTCATTGTCAGTTCTAAGGCTGAGGCCTAATGTCACCACTTTGGTCTTCCTTATTAGTAATCTTAATCCCATTTTCTTTTCACCGTGGTCTTTGAGTTTATTGCCACAGCTTGCACATCCTGGGCTCTTTTAGCTATCTGTAGAGTCATCAGCATAGTCCAGGACTATTGATATATCTTCCTTTAGTTTTAACCAACCCATCTTCAGAGCTCAGAGGAGCAGAGATTATGACACCAAGATTAACATCAGACCAGCAATCAAGAAATAAACAATATCTCAATCAAGGAACTTCCAAACAAGCTAACAATAAACAACCAAAGAACCACCAAGGCCGCTCCCATCAACACTTGATAGGGCAAGCCACTAGAATATAAATTGAGAGCCAACCCTACTCCCTACGAGCACTGATGATGTTACCTAGTTTGGTAATGAAACGTCTGCAAGAAAACAGCTAAGCTCAGAGAGCACCCAGGACCCCTCCTCATTTCAACCCTGAACTATAAACATTCACCTCTATCTTGCAGTCAATCTTCTTCCAGTTTCCCTATATTCTTCATAAAGGTAGAGGAAGTAAGGAGAGCATATACAGCTTCTGTTACTCCTTTTCAGAACTGGAGTTTCATTATCTCCATCCGGACTCAATTCCTGTCCTGGGGATAGGTTTTGCATGCAGACAATGAGTTGATCTGAGCTCTTCATTTTCTAAGGACATTCCACAGCTTGACATGGTTGACACAATCGTTGACCTTTCTATAATTGATGAAGCACATATTGACTTATTTTTGTTCTCTCATTTTCTCAGTTGTGTCTCTTGTTCCTTAACCTTTTCTAAGGCCATCTTGAGCTTCTGTCATCTCCTATTCCAATCTGCATTGAATAATGATCCTAACCAGTGTTTTGCTAGCATATGAAATTAAGGATATTGTGTGATGATTCATATCTATATACTACTATATACTACATACTACTAAAACTTTGATTGTCATAACCATTAACTGGGCAAAATGGTACACCATAGGGTAGCAACCTTTATCTCAAATGGGCTAATTTACAGAATGCATCCAAAAATTGGGACCCAGACTCCCATGGAATTGAATTTTGACAAATTTTACAAAATGTTTTATGACATTAGTCATCATAAAATAGTTTATGACATAACAGAGCCAGTTTGGCCTAGTGTTAAGGCATCAGCCTAGAACAGGGGTCTTCAAACTTGGCCCTTTTATAACTTGTGGACTTCAACTCCCAGAATTCCTCAGCCAGGCACGCTGGCTGAGGAATTCTGGGAGCTGAAGTCCACAAGTCATGAAAGGGTCAAGTTTGAAGACCCCTGCCCTAGAAAGTAGGAGACTATGAGTTCAAGTGAAAGCCATGAAAGGCCAGCTGGGCGACTTTGGGCCAATCCCTCTCTCTCAGCTCATCTCACCTCACAGGATGGTGGTTGTGTGGAGAATAGGAGGAGGAAGGAATATATTTGCCTTATTTGCAGTGCTTTTTTTCTTAAAAAAAAAAAAAAAGGTGCCGGAACTCACACAGGTCATACAACCCACCTTGCCTACCCTACAAGTTCCATCCAAAAAGGGTGCCAGAACTCGGTTCTGGGCGTTCTATGAGAAAAAAAGCCCTGGTTATTTGTAAAAATAATAAAGGTGGAATAGAAACAAAACATTTCCTCTGCTGATGTTTGTGCTATACAGTCCAAAATGGGCTATTTTCAAGGCAGATACATCTCTGAATGTATCCCAACTTTTCCAATGAAGGCAGGTCATTTGAACTTCTGCCATTGTTGAAGTCTTTGAGGAATCTGATGAGGAAATATCTCTGAAACGATGACCCAAGTATTCTATTAAACCTCCTTTCTTGGTATTGGTGTGTAGTGTGCTGACTGACCTCTTCCAGTTTATTGGCCACTGTGTCATCTCCAGATTTGGCGTCATAGCTTAATTAGAACCTTAGTGGTGGTTCTTCTCTTGCTTGCCATATTTCTGTGGGTATTCCATTCCTGTATTCTTCCATCTTGATAATGACCGGAGTGATGATTTAACACTCATCTTCTAATACTAGAGATTCTTGTAAGTAAAGAATATCTTCTAAAGCAGTGTTTCTCAACCTTAGCAACTTTAAGATGTGTGGAATTCAACTCCCAGAATTCTGGGAGTTGATGTCCAGACATCTTAAAGTTGCTAAGGTTGAGAAACACTGTCTAAAGCAGGGCTGTCACAGGCCGGATGCGTCAAGCCGAAACCGCGCTCACCCCGCTCCGGCAATGGGGAAAAAGTCGCGATACGTGGCGACACATCACATGACGTGGCTAGTTTGACACCCCTGGTCTAAAGTATTTTAGAAGTTAGCATCTCTGTACTGTATCAAATGTCAGCATACATGTTCCATTTTTGTTGGATCTACTTAAAATCCGTTACTATTTGTCCATGCATCCTTTGATATACCAGTTTGAGTTTGATCTTCCTTTGGACTCCAGTGATCTTTTGGAAGGCTTTCCATGCTCTTCCTGTGTTGCATGAATGATGTTGATTTTGGATTGAACTATAATCATAAAACCCATCACCTTCCTCTTTTTGCATCAATGGTTGGGGCATAAACCTCATACGGTATTAAAGGATTGTGTGTGAAATGTGGTTTATGTTATTTTGTCATTAACCGCATTCAAGCACTCTCCTTACTGAAGCTTTCCTGACAACGAGAAGTAGCTGCATTGCATATTTGATTTTTGTGTCCTGAGTAGCAAATAGTATAGATCAGGGGTAGGCAACCTTGGCTCTTTTATGACTTGTGGACTTCAACTCCCAGAATTCCTGAGCCAGCCATGCTGAGGAGAAAGGGAGAAGTTTCCATGTTGAGCCATGCTGGCTCAGGAATTCTGGGAGTTGAAGTCCACGAGTCATAAAAGAGCCAGGGTTGCCTACCCCTGGTATAGATAATCCTTGACTTACAACCACAGTTGAGCCCCAAATTTCTGTTGTTGAGCAAGGCAGTTGTTAAGTGAGTTTTGCGCCATTATAGAACCTTTTTGGCTACAGCTGTTAAGTGAATCAATGAAGTTGTTAACTGAATCATGCAATTGTTAACCAAATCTGGCTTTCCCTGTTGACTTAGTTTCTCGGAAGCCAGTTGGG